TCGTAGAGGCCCTCACTACTCTTGAATGCATTCTTCCACTCGTTCCCGGGTCGAATTCGGATCTGATGATATCCACTCCTCAAGTCGACTTTCGAAAAGACGGTCACGCCTCCCAACTGATCTAACATGTCGTCTAGCCGAGGGATTAGGAACCTGTAACGAATTGTAATCTTGTTAATGGCCTTATTATCCACACACATCCGCCAACTGCTATTCTTCTTTGGTGTTAACAATGCTGGAACTGCGTATGGACTCATGCTCTCTCGGATGTAGTCTTTCTTAATAAGGTCCTCAATGGCGTCCTGTAAAACCTTCTTTTCCTGCGGGTTCATGTGATAGTTTGGGAGATTAGGAAGTACTGAATCCGGGATGAAATCAATGTGATGCTGAATATCCCTCATGAGAGGTAGACCCTCTGGCAGCTCTTCAGGAATCAACACTTCGAACTTCTTAAGCAGTGACTTCATCTTCCCTAGGATCTCAATGGGTGTCTTCACTTCTTCTTTGACAACTAAGGCAAACCTCTGCTTTAATTCCTTTGACTCGGCTAGAAACTCCCTTGCTACAAAGAGATATACGTTTGGACTTTTGATCTTTGGGGCTCTTTGGAGAGGGTGGAATAGGTGGTAGGATGATCTTTTTATTCATCCACATAAAAGAGTACTTGTTCTTCTTGCCGCCATGCGTAGCGTCAACATCATACTGTCACGGCCGTCTCAACAATATATAGCATGCGTCCATATCCACAATATCACAAGCAACAGAATCACTATAAGTCTTGCCTAGTGATAGTGATACGTGGCATACTTCGGTCACCTTCACAGAGGGATCCTTCTTGATTCATCCTATGGTATAAGGCACATGCTTTGTTTCAGTTGGTAGTTTTAAGTGATCCATCAAAGCCTTTGACACAATATTCTCATAGCTTCCATTGTCAATGATAAGGGTGCACACCTTGTTGTTGACTGAACATTTAGAAAAAAAATTTGATGTCGTTGTGATGAATCTGGTATCTTCTGAGCGCACAGAAGTTGTTGAACAACACACGACACATTGTCGCCTTCAATCTCTGCAACCTCTTCCTCAATACTCTTCTTCGGATGCCGTGTGTCCATCCTCGGCTTCTTCATAATCCGCTAGATTGATCTTTCGCCGTTGTGGGCACTCGTTGTACTTATGCCCTGGTTGGAGAAATCGGAAACACTTCCCTACAGTCGGCTTGACATATGGATTTGCTTGAGTCGTCGGGGGCTGTGGTTGAGTTGTCAACCGCTCGACCGATCGTGGAAGAACAGGCCGATCAGTCGTCCTTTGCCCGGTTGACTCACCTCTCGCCATCTCGACCGAACCTTCCTGTTCGGCTTGTCTGAAAGGTAACGTCTTGGAGGTCAATCTTTCTGCCTTAAGAGCTATGTTATGGGCTTTGTCCACAGAGTACACGTTGTGGATGATCACCTTCTCTTGAATTGAATACTTCAAACATTCGATATATTTGATCGCGAGTTGGTCCTCGCTCATCGACAAATCGCAATGAGAAGTAAAACGGAAGAACTCTTCAGTATAAGCACTTATTGATCTGATGCCTTGACGGCATTGCTCGAACTGGTTGTAAAGAATCTGTTGGTACTTGGTAGTTGGGTGGTAGGAACCTAGCTTGGAATAATTGCTTCATGCGTCGCCAAACCCGAACTAGTTGCATACATTGTTGTCGCTTAGTGTTTTGAGTCTGATCCCACCATGTCGCGGCTCCTCCTTTGAGACGATGTGCCACAAACTTCACTTGCTTCGGGTACATTAGCCATCTCAAAGAACGTCTCCACTTCATACAGCCAATCCAAGAAAGCCTATGTCTAGATTTCCTCCAAAGAAGGGGAGTTCTACCTTCATTCAGTACTCTTGGTCGTGGTGATGTCCGCCCTGTCGGTGATAATTACGACGAGGGTTGAAGCCTCTGCCTCGACCTCTGCCATAAGGTCGTCCTCCTTCGCTCGAGACGTTGTCGTACCATGGTCTCTCAAATTGGGCACCATAGTCTGCTCCTTCGTCACTGGATTCATCATGTGGAGGGGGTTGGTTGGGATGTTGCCTATGATATGGAGGGGGTTGATATGGAGGGGGTTGATACGAAATTGTTTGATATGGAGGAGGCTGATGCGAAGGGGGCTGATATGGAGGGGTTTGGTTTGGAAGTGGTTGATATGGAGGGGGATGAACTGGAGGGGGTAGGGGATTGTACGGGGATGGATGTCAGGGTATCCTAACTCTGGGTTCGCTTAGGTGAAGACCGTCGGTGAAGTTATTCCTATTGTTGAGGTGAATGGTAAGTCCTTTAATGTCTTGTTGAAGGTTCTGAAGAGAAGCCTCCAACGTGCCAAATCTTCCATCCATAGAATCCATCCTCGCGGAAAGATCCTGTAGAGAAAGCTCATTCTCGCCGTCACCTGCCATTGTCAAGGATGTTGAAGCCGAAGCTCTGATACCACTTGACGTAGACGTAGAAACGGGCAGGCCGATCGGATATCGTTCCGATACCGACGAGCCCTGATAACAGCAGGTATTCTACGAGCTTGAATCCATAAGCTCAAAGTTTCTCAAACTTGAGAATGAAAACAATGAAAAAATTTCTCTTGATTGAATAATTGAAAGTTAATTACTTGATTTACAAAAGGAACTATTATTTATAGCCAACTAAACCTATCCTAACTCTAATAAAAAAGAAAGTCTGAATCTAAAAGGAAATAACCAAAAATAACTCTTTCTTAATTTAAAATGAAATAACCAAAAAGGAACTCTTTCCTAATCTGATGTCCGAGTCGACACAGGTGCTTTTCTTCTTGTCTCGTCCAGTGCTTGATCTCCTGTATCATTATGCATATGGGATGCAGATATGACATGGATATAATAACATGCCAAACTCATGCGAATATTTTTTTTTAATTTTTTAGGGGTTTAGGTGGGGGGGCGCAGTTAATACATAATATTTATTTATGAATGTATATTTGTATTTATAAAATACATATGTATATGCATATGCGATAATTTAAGTTGCACACATGTCCTAACTTTTGCACTTTTATATATTAGTCACTATTGTGACGTGTTCGCTTGAACTTTAGTTTTTAGCATATCAAGACTGACAGATTGTAAATTCATCTCCTATTGTGCAATTAGTAAAAATTAAGTTGTTAACAAGGAAAAACATCATAGTTGTGTTGGAGAAAGGACCAAAAAGTGTCAAAGATATATGAAAAATTGAGGACATGTTCTGGAGATATTTGACACACGGCTAAGGAGTGTTGAGATGTGCTGATATGATATCCAGTGATAGAAGTGTTTAAAGAAAGTTTTGTACTTGCTTGAAAAGTTAGGGTAGGAATGTGAAGGGGTATACCTAATGTTACATTAAACGCTGGGCGCTTCTAGGCGTCAGACTTGGCGCCCAGCGCTTAGTCGCCTAGGCGGGCGCCTAAGCGGTTTCTGGGCGTTTTTTTTCTTTCTTCATTTAAGTGGTGATCGAATAGGTTTTGCTGAAGGTCGGAGGAGCTAGTGAAGGTGTTCATATTTGGAAGTTAATGGAGTTTGGAGGACGTGTAGGCTACGACACATAAAATCACAATCAAGGCCTACAGGGTGCAATCCACGTAAGCAGACAATGCTCCCCTAAACGCTCGTAAAATCTAGATGGGCAGCCTAAATAGCGCCTAGGCGTTAGGCGCTAGTTAGGCGGCCTAGGTACCGTCTAGGCCTAGGCGTACGCCTAAGCGGACTAGGCGGAGGTTTTTTAAAACAGTGGGTATACCAATATTTTAATATACTAATATATTACAATTTATTTAAAACTATTAATAATCTGAGAATCATAAAATAAAGTCATGATAATCAATAATTTCTAGAATGCTTTTAAGAGTAAATGCAATAAACTTATAATCAATTATCAGTAGTAAACAATAAATTAAGGTATTGCATGGTCATGGCAAACATTTAAAGAAAAGAGCAAATCGAGATGTTGTGCTAAGTAAGGTTTGAAAATTTCCCTTTTAATTGATAATCGATTATCAATTAAAATTTCCCTTTTAATTGATAATTGATAATTGTTAGCAAGAGATCAATAAGAATTACTATAACGTTTATCGTACAAAAGTAAATTAAGAAAATAACATTGTAAAAAAATCATAAACAGAATGCTTCTATAAACAAAGTGAATAAACTTAGAGTACTTATCTATCAAATAGGTCAACCACTTATGAGTTAGAAAATCATTTTTAAACACAAAGGAACTGTGGAATATGAAAATATGGTAAAAATGAAAATAAAGTAACTCTTAAATTGCCATAGTTGGCTAATGTACGTGTAAAATCTATTCCAGGTTCATGTCAGTGACAAAACTGATGTCTATACATTCGAGGGTATACTGGTAAATAATCAATAATTATACTACTAAATAAACAATTATTAATGTATATCAACTTTAGTAGGATAGCATGTTAACCCTTTTGACTATGCTACATAATAAATGTGTTGTTTAGTTCCTGCCTAGGTTGGGTTTTGTAATCCCCTTTCTTTTTCCATCTGAACCCTGTATATGGGAGTTATATCATTTTTATTTATTCAAGCATTTATAAAATTTTGTCTCATTTTTATACTTGAATTAAACCTTCACATACAACTTGTTATTTTTAGCATACGTGACAATCAGGGTTATTATCGTATTATAGGATAACTTTGTACAATTTCTTATTTCCATTGCATTTTATTAAAAGAATTATCTTAACTCACATTCCAATTTATTCTTTTAAAAAAAATTCAATGTTATATTGTAGGTTACCAGGATTTTGTAATCTTGTTATGACCAAAATAAGCTGAATGGATATTCGAATCTGGACCATAAGCTCTTGAGCAATTGGGTTTTTGTGAAGATTCTGTCTTCTTCCTGTGCTATTTTACTTCTCTATGGAAACTGTTCATTCCTCAAAATTTTGTACTATGCTATTATGTTTCAGGTTTGGGACCTTACAACTTTACAATGCATCGAGATCCTCACTGACCATACGTCAGTTGTCATGTCAGTATTATGTTGGGATCAATATTTGTTATCTTGCTCACTAGATCAAACAATAAAGGTGAGAATAGGCATTTTCATTTTTTTTACTCCATTGAATCTGTTAAGTGGTGTCGTTATAATGCTTGAATTTTTGCAGGTTTGGGTTGCCGCAGAAAGTGGAAAACTTGAAGTGACATATACTCACAGTGAAGAACATGTAAGTTCTGCACTGAATAATTTTTTGGTTATTAGACATTGATACTTCTTTCTAGAATTCTGTGAATTCACCTTATGGTATGCACAATGGTTGTTTTACAGTTTTACTTGCCATGGCATGAACAGGATATCTTTGTAGACATTCATTTATTATGTGGAGCTTAATCTTCGGATAGATTTCGTTTCACTGAACTTGTTTTGGACTGACCAGAGTCAAATCAATTTCTGCTTGGTATTCTAGATTATTTGCAAATCTGTATACTTCATTTCTTGCTTTGACTTGACATCTATATTGTTTACTAACTCATGCAAGTTTTACAACACTTTGATTCAAAGTTCACAACTTAATAACAAGAAAACCAAGGTAAAGGCTAAGTTATGATGAAACAGAGGAAAAAAATCGTATTTTCATTAAAACAAATAACTCAACATTAACGTAGTCAGCTTAGTAAAAATCCGCTTAAATGTATATAACATCAGCAAGTACCCAACAAACGAATACTTTAAAATAAGGTTAAATTTAAGAAAATCGTCCATAACGATTGATGATTATCAGATAACCCCCATAACTTTTAAAAAAACAGCAAGCCCCTTCAATTTCAAGTTTTTTTTCATAAAATTCTTTAAACTGCATTAGCTGCAATTTTCATACTGGGTGGGTAAAATTATGCAGGAGGATATTTTTGCTAGCAAATGTCTTCACACCTTTAACCCGGTTTCTTAAAAAATGTTAGAAGTTAGGGGGTTTTCTTGTATGCTTAAGGGGGTTTCTCATATTTTGAAAGTTATGGGGGGTTATTTATAATATTACAGAAGGTGCTAGGCGGATTAGGTGTTTCAGCCAGCGCTTAGACGCCTAGGTGTAGGCCTAGGTGGCACCTAGGCGTTTGGCTATTTTTAAAATTATTTAATTATAATAATTAATAAAAATATGTATTAAATTCATATAAAAATTTGTAAAATATAGCAATTTTAGATCCACAATAAACCATGCATAGTTAAATACTAAACAACCAAAATAATAACTAACAATGTTATAGAAAGCGCTAGGAGGCCTAGGCGTTGGACTCGATGCCTAGAGCCTAGGAGGTTTTATTTTTTATTTTTTAATTATAATAATTGATAGTAAATGTTAATGTTATAGAAGGCTTAGGTGTTGGACTGATGTTTAGGCGGATTTCTTTCTTCATTTAAGTGGCGGTCGAGGAGGTTATGTTGAAGGTCGAAGGAGATAGTGGAGGTGTTCATATTTGGAGGTTAAAGAAGTTTGGAAGAGGTTGGAGGATGTGGAGGCTGCAACACAGAAAATAATGATCAAGACCTAAATGGTACAGTCCAAGTAAGCAGACAATGCTCTCCTAAACACTCGTAAAATTTAGGTGGGCATCCTAGGTACCGCCTAGGCGCTAGGCACTAATTAGGCGGCCTAGGTACCGTCTAGGCCTAGGTCTAGGCGGACTAGGTGGAGGCTTTTTGAAACAGTGGTTATCTGATAATCGTTCTAAGTTAAGGGGGATTTTCTGAAATTTAGCCTTAAAAAAACTAGAAACAGAAATTTCTATTTCCTAAAAGCTTTGAGCAGTTCATCTCTTCCTCGACATTCTTTTCTTAATATCACAAATTCACTTTCTTTAAACTCATTTTCCCCTTCCCATTTGCACGTTCTTTCCTATCTTCAAGTAGCACACTTGTCTATTTTCTCCTACTAGAGCCCTTTTGAATCAATGCATTCTTGCCTCACCTCCAATCTGAGGCAACGTCGGAAAAAAACATTGGAAAAAACCGGGTTCGTTTGAACTTTCAAGGTTAGGAGTAGTACAATTTTTGTATTTTCAGGAAGTCCCTTCCCACTAGTATCCTTTTAAATTTTTTAGATCTATTGTAAGAAGAGAAGTTTAAGCTTTCGAATATCTTGAATCCAGAATTATTATGTGACATGCCAACCATGAACTCCCAAAAAAAGTAAAAAAAGGAAAAAAGGAAAAAAGGATTGACCATAAGAAGAGTAGATTAAGCTTTCAAATGTCCTGAATCCATAATTACCATGTTACATGCCAGCCATGAACACCCAAAAAAAAGTTTTTTTTTTTCTTTCTGAGTTAGAAGAGAGATTCTGTGAGAGAAATTTAGTTTTTTAAAACTGGGGGACGGATGGTAATTGCTAACCAATATCCTGTAAGACAACGTGGAGAAAAATAGAATTCATTATAGATGGAGAATTGTTCTATAGGAGGTGGCATGGAGGCATTTTAGTTGGTTTGGTGAAGAAAAGCATATTTGAAGGACAAATTTTTAAAAACAATTTGTTTTTGAAATTTAATTATCAAAAGCAACCGAGTTAGAATTTATTTAGCAAAAAACAACCTGTTTTATGTCCATATCAGCAACAACAATCAAAACTTAGTATATTCTGAAATTTTGATCTTTTTAAGTAAGCGGATTGGCAATCCTGGCTAATAATGATTTATAATAATAAAATGACGGTGATTAGATTACGCTTCTAGTTTCGTTTCGTGCTATGAACTACAAGGGAGGTTAAAGTCGGACCCGCCCTCCGATACTTCCATTCACACATACCTATATGACTGGGGGTTACAGGTTATAGCACGGTAAATGGTTAAGCTTAAATCTTAAATGACGGTAAAATCAAAATCAGAAGCGAGATTTTACGTATAACATTTTTACTTACCCGGTACTGCGTATCCTGGGTAATTAAATACTCATACTTTGAAATTGGCCAAATTTTGGCTGGTATGTTGTATGCTGATGTCAACAAAAAACGGTCGTTTTTGCTAAATAAATAAAAACTTGGTCGGTTTACACAGTTAAATCTCAAAATTAGTATTTCTTATCTATTTGAAAAGTAAACATACTTGGGTCATTGGGTGTAGTGGTAGGCATCTAACAACTTTCAGTACTGGGAGTGCTAATGTGAGAGATACATGGTAAGGTCTGACAGAAACCAAATTGCATACACTTTTCTCACAGCATATAGCTTAAGATGATGGGCCTTGTTTTGTGAGCAAAAATCACAGAGTGCTATCTGTAATGTATTCCATCCATAAGGGTTGTAATGATTTGTCAAACCTAAAAAAGTTGCATGCTCATTCTTGTGTTGCATTCCATACTTTATACATTCAAAATCCATTCGCAGTCCTATTTTATTTTATTTTTACTCAATAAGTTGTATCTTTAACTTGTTAAGCATAGTCCGGGAAAGAATAATAGAAGGCAGGATGAAGAGAGAGAAATAGATCTAAGTTGTATCTTAAAACTTGTTAAGCATAGTCTGGGAAAGAAGAATAGAAGGCAGGATGAAGAGCAAGAGAAATAGATCTCCATTTAACTACTAATTTATGTCTTAAGTTCTGTAAATCTGTATGTGCAATTAAAAGGATATATATAAGAGAAACAATCTTAGCCTATACTCACAACAGCAGGGATCATGCGGGCAAGATACTATGTAAATGCAGGAACGCAATGACTTGAATGGCTACTATGTCTGTGTAAGCATTAGGAATGATGGTCATAGATAATAAGGAGGCCTCATTCTGAAATGTAGCCACGCAATCCTCTGTTATGTAGCTTCTAACACTGCCACTCTTTGTCCTAGTTCACGCGCGCGCATAAACTCAGTCATGAAACGTACTGTCAGAATTAAGGACAACCTAGTCGCTCACACAAGCGCATACACATGCATGCTCACATGCAGACAATCGCACGCGCATACAGAGACACAAACACGCATGCTCCTCCCCACTGACCTACCCGCACTTGCATGAGTTTCAAGCTTTATGTATTTAGCTATTACTGTCTTCATATAATAGTTGAGACTCGAGAATTACTATGCCTCGATGATGATACAGTGTGATTTCCATGCCTTTGTCTTATTTTAAGTATCAAATACCATCGCACTTGAGTGAGAATTTTCATGCAACCAATTCCTTTTGTTCTGAATTTGAACCTGTTGAACTCTGCTGACAAGTTTTGCTTCTTTCAGGGCATACTTGCACTACGTGGGATGCATGATGCTGAAGGCAAACCAGTCCTGTTTGTTGCCTGCAATGATAACAGTGTGCACCTCTATGACCTACCTTCGTAAGTTTATCTAGTTCAGTTTGAGAAATGTCATTCTGTTGAGTTATGGATTCCGTCAAAATTGTTGTATTTTTTATTTTATTTTTTGTTTAATTATAGATTCAGTGAGAGGGGGAAGATCTTTGCCAAGAAGGAAGTCAGAGCCATACAAATAGGTCCTGATGGGCTATTTTTTACCGGAGATGGAACAGGCGAGCTTAAAGTATGGAAATGGGTTGCAAGTGACCCGACATCTGCTTAATATGATATGAAGTTTGACTTCTTTGTAATTTAATTTCTTCCTCCCCTATGTAATCTATAAAAGGGCTTGATATGCTGCAGAAGTGAGACGCATAATGTGGTCAAGATGTGTTAGAAGCGTGAGGCAAGGCAATTTTGAGGTCTTCACATTTATCTATTTATCGGCTCCTTCACGTTTTTAATAAAAATCAGTTTTTATTTTATATTTTAGTCTTCGGCGCACAGATTTAGTTTTATATGTTAGTTCGACTTTGAATAGAACATCATGCCTTTTTTATCCATGTATTATTTGAATGGAGCATCATGCTTTTTTTTGTGTGTTCTGTTCTGTTGATGTAACATGCAAAGTTTTATCAAGCCATTGGTTGTCGACCGGAGGAAAAACATTGAACTTTCGCAGATTGTTGTTTGCTATTCTCTGCTGCAAATCTAGGTGGTCATAGAACCTTCACTTATACTGTAGTTACTGACAAAAAAAAAATGCTTAATACCGTTATTATATCAGAATCCAATCTGATTTACTTCAGTCAGTATTTAAAATGTAAATTAGCATGGATTTTGTAGTTTCAAATTCAACACTCAAGGCCCAAAACTCCAGATATAGATAGGATCGTAGCGCGTTTTTGGCCTTCCATCTTGTTGAAGATAAGGCAAAAACATGACCATTCACTTAACATACAACTCTTTTTTCCTTCACGACCAGTAGCATTCTCTCTGAACTATACAGAGCAAACTTTACCAATCAAATGGATTGCAGGTTCACCTCTACTAATCTCTCAATCCCCCACAAGCTCTCAACCTCCAAATCCCACAAACTGCCAACTTCTTTACTCGGATGTTGCAAAGCGCAAAGCAAGCAAGAGTCTTCTTCTACTGCTACTTCAACACAACCTCAGCCTCAATCCACTACTACTCCGTACAAAATCAGGTTTCAAACTCTGCAGGCATGCACGCTTGGGATCTCCAGATACCCCGATTTTGAGTACAATGCTGAAGGAGGGATTGGTACTGCGACGGGTGAGAAATTGGCGACAACGGGTGAAGAATTGTTGGTAAATTTCGACATTGAAAGCTTGTATATCCCAGCTCTAACAGGGGCGACGACAAGGTTCTTAGGGTCGCCTTTGCCGCCATTTTTGAAGATTGAGATTGCTCCTGAGGACTTCAGAGGATGTATTAACAGTGAGAGCGGCATGGTAATTATACTCGCGTGAGACGCACTAATCTTTGTGAAATTGTGGTAATTTAGTAACATTATCCTACCACCATAAAAATTTTTGCGAGGACTTATGCATTGTCTTTGCACTTACGTAGCAAGTACTAATAGATGCAACTAACTTGAAATCTCCACTAACTGCAGGTTGAGCTAGAATTCAAAGCCAAGTTCAGGTTCTCAATAGGAAGTCTTTATAAAGCTCCTCCATTAGTGGTGAAAACCACACTGACATCTGAGGAATCCAAAGGATTGATACGAAGCGGTAAAGGCAAGAGGATGGACGGAGAGGGGCGGTGCAGGTTAGTCGGAGTGGCCACCGTTGATCCTGTCAATGATCTTCTTCTTGATTCCTTCCTCGGTCTTCCGACGGAATGCATTGCTGATCTTAATGCGCAAATTTCTGTTAATAGCTAAAACTGAGGGTTAGCTATTAAATTTGATGTTTCTGTACATATACAGAGTATTTAAACTATTGTATCTTCCAAATAAATAATAATATTAAGGAAAGTATTTTTCTCGTATTGGTCCTTCAAAAGACATGTCTTAGATCCCACAAAAGATGGTAATTATAAAATAAGTCCTTTTAAATTTTCACCTTACTCGAAACAAGGTCACGCTAACGTTTATATTAAAACCTAATTCGTATAAGATTAGCTGTCAGTCAAAATTAATCATATCTGACTTATACCTCTTACTAGGCCCCACCACCACCCCTACTCGCGCGGAAGGCGAAGGAAGGCGGAGGGAGATGTCGAGTAGGGTGAAGGAGATTCATGAGTTCTTCATGAGAGAGAGAGAGAGAGAGAGAGAGAGAGAGCCGGGGGGCGGGGGGTGGAATTTTTTTTAAATGTATGGGACAATTAAGGGTAGAAGCACTGATTATTTAGGTCAATGGAGATGGGACTCTTGGAGGCTTAGCTAAAAAGTCAAAGGAGGGTAAGGCTCAATTCTCTATTCCCAGTGTCCGACGCAAAATTTCTAATAACCGCTGGTGAAATTATTTCAAACTTTAATTTCTTTAAAAGAACTTTTTTAGCATTGACAATTTGAAGGATAAGTATCAGAAAAACCCTTTTCAGAAATAATTTTCTCAGCATGATCATTCTCCTTAAACACATTGGCCACTGGTCCACCACTATCTACAACGCAGTCTGTCACCAACATCTATTGATCATTAACTGTATACAACGCCCTGGCAGCCAATATATACAACATATACACGCTAAGATTAATCAGAAAGCACTAGCTAGAGCATAATGGAGACTATGTTTACGCTTGAAAGTTTGTTTACTTTTGGTATGAGAATAGGCAAAGTTTTAACAGCAGTCTTCATGGGCAACATTTGCGCAGAATCATGAAAACCAGGGCAGAACACATCCCCAAACAAAATGGTAAGAGATTTCTACAATCCGAAAAATAGAGGCTCTCATGTCATCTAGAAAAAAATAATAATAATGAGACAAGAAAAGAAAAGAAAAGAAAAGAAAACAGCTCAAGCAACACTAATTGAACAACCAGTTTGAACAAATGAATCACACAAACAATACCGATCTGCAACCTTGATGAGTGAATATACTAGTATACAGTTGGAGAGACGATCAAAATCATGGTACCATTCCAAGATCCTTAAGTTCCTTGAAGTATTCGTGCTCAAGAGCATGCCGAGCAATGATTCTTTTAGCTGGTTCATACTGAAGCATTTTCCTTGAAGTATTCGTGCTCAAGAGCATGCCGAGCAATGATTCTTTTAGCTGGTTCATACTGAAGCATTTTCTGGCAACATAAAGATCATTAATCAATGATTCTTTTAGCTGGTTCATACTGAAGCATTTTCTGGCAACATAAAGATCATTAATAAGCCTTACCAAGTATTACAAAAGTGGAATTGCACCATGAGATATAGCCCTACATTGCAGATATGAAATAGTTGTGTCCAATTACACATTTGAAGCAGCGAGTGTCAGAGATAATTTAGTCTCAGCATTTGCGTTCTACTGTTCACATTCTTTAACATTTCAAATTAACGTAGCGGGAAAAGGGTGATGTTGGGATCTCCAGTCACTGCAAGTGATTGTAATTAATAGAAGGAAAATTGAAAAACTAAGTAGGCAGATCCAAGTTGTCACTTCTCGGAACCCACAAAATCAGGCGCTTGAAAGGAAACAACCTTGACACCCTTCTGAATCCTGATCCCTCGTAAGAATCTCAAGTATTGGTAATCATCCTCTATTTGAGACATAAGTATCTAAGTTTAGTATGCCTATCGCATATCACAACGCTTTAGTGATTAGCAGTGGCCGGATTTCTCAAGAATCAGCAACAACAAAGCCTTATCCCAGATTACTCTTCCAATTTAAGGCTATGTTCTCCACTAAGCTAAGCATTATCATATCCTTAAGAAGAGGAGAATCCTTATTCATTATCTTTAGACTCCCTGTTCATTTTTAGCATTGTCTCTTTCACAAACTTCCTCAAGGTTTTGATTGAATAAGCTGGTTCAGCAATGACTAGTACAAATGGGAATACCTCACCTCGCACGAGGGGCATGAAAAGTTATTTTTTTAAAAAGGATTAATTGTGCTCCGAAATAGAGAGCCAACTATCTGGAAATTAAGGAGACGAAAGAATGTCGGTTACAGGGGTTACTATACTTACAGAAAGAAGATCAAGTCCAGCTGGTTCAAGATTTGGGACCACGGTTGCTAGATCCTGCACATCAGACAGTAAATAGTGTCCTTCAAGGTTCACTTAAACCTGATTAACAGAAGTAATTTCAGCATGAAAGCAATAATTGGCTCACCCTAGGAGGCCATTTTGGAAAAGTAGACTTGAAGTCAGGCAAGGAAGTCACTCCTGGCCATGTATCTTCATTTGGTGTGCCCAAAACTCTTCAAGATTAAATATATAAATAATAAACAAGAAACATACATAAGCTTCACATACATACAACAGGGTAAAATATCTACTAGACAATCAATTTACTCAAAAACCTGAATATTTTGAACAACTCATCAATCTCAGAATCACCAGCAAATAAAGGTCGCTTGTTCACCATTTCAGCAAAAATACAACCCACCGACCACATATCTACAGGAGTAGAATATTGACGAGACCCCAAGAGAATTTCAGGTGCCCTATACCACAGAGTGACTACCTGAGAGGAACTTGAGTATAAGTTAAACGTGTTTGTTAATAACATGTACATTAACAAATTTTCCAGGAGGATTAAAAGATCAATAAAATTTGCCCACAATGCCTCTAGTAAACTCTAGCTACCAATACTATATAACAAAACTTTACATATCTAGCATTTTGAGATTCTTCCCTCCGAATAGTTTAAAGCATTTTTCTGTGTAAGAACTAGGAATACACTAGAAAAATTTACAAACCCCGATTTGTGATAAGAAAAGCATAGTAATGACCATGGTACCTCATGAGTAAATGTTCTGAGTGGAATACCAAATGCTCTGGCCAGCCCAAAATCTGCAATCTTTAAAGTATTAGTTCGCTGATCTATCAACAAATTTTGAGGTTTCAGATCCCGATGAAGAATTCGGTGCGAGTGGCAATGAGCAATGCCACGGAGAATCTGATAGAGAAACATCTGGCAAAGGGCAAAAAAGGGAGGGTTCCAAACCAAACCCAGGAATAAAATCAGATAACATCATGTTTTACTAAGAAGCACCAATTCATCAATGAGTAATGTCAATAGAAATGCCCACATAGTACTACTATGTAACTACTATAGGACAGACATGTGGGACCTGCTAACCATTAAAAAATCTTGATGCCAACATGTAGCTACTGAGTAGTCTACTTTGAAGTATGGTTAATGTTTCACTTTTAATTAATGAATACAAGAATCATTAGACCTTGCTCCTTGAGCACAACATAGACACCAACTTCATAGACACCAACTTCATCTGTTACCAACTTGCTTGAGATTCCAAATGATGCAATGTATACGTAGGTGGGAACAATCAACCAAAAAGAAAAAAACATCCAAACTATAGGCCACTAAGAACTTCGAAAAAACACATCAACAAGGCTAAAAATAAAAAAAATTTAAACAAGAAGATCATGTTTTCTTATAGAACCACACAATAATAAATCATACGAGAGAGATTACTAGCATATTTGGGTCTTTTTTGCTTCTTGACATTTACTGTGCCTTCTGGATGAATGCAATTGCTAATCCAAAATTTTATTCTTTTTCTTCCATCTAGATTCTCTTAATCTTGGACAATGTTTGGGAACCTGGTATAAGTCACACCAAACCCCAAACTCTACAGTTTCACCAGCCAAGGAGCGAGTCAAGTGAGCTAGCCGAGATAACTTTTACGAGGTGAATGAGCAATTCCGTTTGCCTTTATTGGCACCTTATGGAGAGTTTTGGTGCTTTTTATAGTTTCATATTGGAATGATTGCTACATAGAACAAGTTGGAGACTACTAAAATTCTTTTTGTTATTGTTCTTTTTAAATTTATTTCCGGTATAAGTATATCAAATTAACCTTTAGTAGGTTAAACCACAGATCTCATGTACTAGTAATTAGTAGCCAACATAGGACACCCTCACTCATTAGTCTTTATCAGGGAATGTTAGTGGTATAAACCAATTTCAGTAGATTTGGACTGACATACTATTGATTTAAATATCCCTGATATGGCCCAATATATTGCCCGAATATCTCCGATATATCCTTTTATAGGGCTTGCCTTAACTGATATGGTCTCTAACTATCCTTTTACCGCTTCTTGGCTAATGTTGACGATATATCCCCGATATGGCCGATATATCAGCCGATATATTGGCCGATATATTCTTTTATATGACTTGTTGCAAAACAACATACCACGTTTGGCAACTTTTGGGTAAGATGTCAAGATTTTCCCATTATGTCGTATGACATTTTGGCCTAAAAAATCAGATGAAATGTTGCAATGTTGATTTGCACTTTTGTTTGTTTTACAAGGTTGATTAGTGATCCTAAACATATATTATTTACATTTTGCATGCTTAGTTTCATTGACTATGTGGAGAATACAGTTTAGTGCATTATGCTATACATGTAAACATTTGTTGTAGCATTCCGATATTTACCACATATCCCCGATGTTTCCTTGATATTTGCACTCTGATATGAATTTTCGTAATCCGATATTTTCTTGATATCCGATATTTAAAACATTGATACTATAAGTATGATACTTCAAACCATGATTTAAGATATCGTCAGCGGTCCCGTTCAAGACCTAAAATTTCAGCACAAGTAAATTCTCCCACCACAACCTGCACTTTATGCAGAAATAGCACACAAGTATGTTGGCCATAGATTTGACATTATCTTAGATCGTGGATGACTAAGCTGACATTTAATCATACATTTTTCACCATGAGGTCCACAAAAGTAGATATCCTTGGAAGATAAGCGGAATATGTAGGGCTTCTACTAGCTAGAGCATGCACAACCAGACTTGGATGTAGAAACCATTAATGGGGCAATCTTGGCCAGTTCCCACCATAAAATTTCAAATTAGATCACCTCAAAAAAGATAATGGGTCAAGATCAGGCCAACATGCGCCACCTGATAATTAATTTGGTTGTGTTAGGGTCAGATAAGTCACATTTTGACCCAATTCACCTGATTATATTCTAGGGTTTTTTTTTCACTTAAACCACCTTAAAAATAGGATCATTTTATAGAAACAACCTTTCATTTTCAATTTTTATGTAAAACATCTTTAAAGTAGGTTTTGTTCCAATCAACCACCTCCTAACCAAATCTTCACTAAAAAACCAAAAATAACCTTTAAATGCACATTTAGGGCACGAGATTCATATAATAACTAGACTTAAACATTAACGAAGTGAGTTACATGTCTTGCATGTGAGTTTTTTAAGGTATTTTTGGGTTTTCAGTGAAAATTTTTACTGGGAGGTCGTTGACTAGAACAAAAATCCACTTGAAAGGTGGTTTATATATAAATTGAAAACGAAAGGTAGTTTCTGTAAAATGACCCTATTTTTAAGGTGGTATCTAGCAAAAAAACCTATATTCTATATATCCCATCTAATATGTCATGTACCATGACATGGTTTCTAAATTGATTTCCTGGTCAGGACACTGTTGTGGTTTATTATAAGGTTTGGTCATGGCCTCATGTTTCTTTCAAAAATAAATAAAAATACAATTAGTGTGGATAAAAATAAATAGAGTACGTTATTTATCACGAAAAGTACTTTTGTCGATGGTTAACTAGTTGGAATTTGAGTTACTGGGACTTGAATTCAGTTCTTTGCCTAAGTGCGTTGAATAATGTTCTTTAAATAACCCAATTGTTGAGTTAATTCATGCCTGACCCGCTGATACCCAGGTTAGACGTGGTACAGCTTATCTTAATATTTGCAGCTAGGAGCATGGGAAAGGGTTCTTGACCCAATTATTCAGGTTGGTATGAGTCTAAGTTTAGCTTATGTCAGCTGGGTAAAATCACATCAAACCAAACCTAAACTAAAGTGATCTGAACCCTAATGCCACCTTTAGTAGTATGCTAGAAGTCCAAAAACCAGATATCTAGAAACTGAAGACATCCATATAAGCAAATATATGATTCTGGTAGTACATGAACCAACTTATCTGAATATAACAAGTGTAATATAATTCAATGTGGGATGTCAAGGCCAAGGATAGAAAGCTCTTACTTTTACTATACGGGGACCATTAGCAACATCAGGACAAGTATCCATATGCTTCTTGAGGTCCAAATCCAGATACTCAAATACAAGATATATCCTCTTTTCACTATGGACTACATCAAGCAACCTGTTATTCAGAAAACAGTTAGGAAACTTAACATGATATATTTTAGCTAAAGTGTAGCCAAGGAAAAAGTCTAATTTAGCATCTAAAACTACAAGAAAAAGGCAAGGAAAATTATGAAAACAGAAAACCAAAAGGTTATTTGTAGAAAGTTCAGAATGCCTGTAAGGCTGTAACTCCAGGCTGAGCTAGCCTGCATCCTTCCAAACTATTGTTATAATTATATGTTGCAAATATTAAGTTTACAAATAAGTAAATGACTGCATGAAACAATGATTAAGTTTAAACCTACACAACTATCAGTGACATTGGAGAGGATTGAGGATGGGAAGTGGCTTGAGTACACTACCAGTGTTTTAAGGGTGCATTCAGGAGCATGCCTCGGGCGCGAGGCGCAGTGATGTAGCGCCCCACAGCAGGTGCGGGGCACTACGCTTGCGTCGAGCGCCCCGTAGCGCCTGCCGCCTTTGGCAAGGCATGCGCCTCAGTAAGCAGAATCCCAATTTTATTCAGTGGGTTATTGGGTACAAACCCTCTTCCCACTTAAACCCGAAACAAAAAAAGAGATGTTAGGGTTCTGTCGCTTCCTTCTTTCACTTTTTTCTCTCGTTTTCTCCTTGGGATCTTCACTCAGCAGCAGCAAGCAGCAAAGACGAGTGGCGACGGGCAACGGCGAGCTGCAATCGGCGACGACGTGGTGCAATAGGCAATGGCGAGCGGCAATCGGCGACGATGAGCAACAGGTATGTTCTTCTTCTCCATTCTCTTTGTTTTCTCCTCAGCAATGTTTTTCTGGTCCTTTTCTTTTCGTTTTGCCTTCTCTCTTCTGACCCTTCTGCTGATATTCCCTGTCCATTTGCAACTAAACTTAAAATCTTAGTTTTTAGTTGTTGACTGTTAAGTGTTAACTGTTAAGAGTGATTTGTTATTTGTTTGTCCTTAATTAAGTTCTTGATTGTTAATTGTTAACCGAGAGATTGCTGAGATATTTCTTGAGTCTTGACTGTTAATTGTTAAGAGAGAATGGAACTTGATGAATTAGTTATAGACTTATAGTATCTTCACTCTTTAAAGCTTCACTGTATTAGTTCTTAATTAAGTTCACTCTTCTAAACTTGATTTGATTTTATGGTTAACTAACTTACAAAGAGAGATTTAATGTTAACTAACTTATTCTTCCTAGCTGTTAGTTCTTAATTATTATTATTATTATCGCTCTTGACTGTTAACTGTTTTTTTCTTTGGCTTAATATCAATATGCAGGTCATGATATTATGAACTAATTGATTGCTTATTATTAATACATATCAGTCATAATTGTTGAAATTGTTCAAGCTTATTGGTATAGTACTAGTGCTACTATTTGATTTCCTGTGCGAGACTGCGCATGTTGATTCTTGCTATTTGATGCTAGGTGTAGTGCTACCAGTTTATTTGTCATTTGTAACCTGTAAAGAGGAAAATAAAATTTAACAATATAGTTATTAGTGATGCAATATACCAGTATGGAAGTTTGAATAATTTGCATGATTGAATGAAAATTAATGTACAAGTTTAATTCACTAAATCTATATACTATATTATTTGTAAATATATGAATTTTGTTGCATAATGCATATATGTGTTTTGTGTAGATATGTTTTCATCAACGGGTGGTGGTAGAAGACAAGATCCTACGTGGAAATATACTTCATTAGTTGATGATGAAAATGCAAATAGACACAAGTGCATATTTTGTAACAAGATCACAAATGACGGCATATCCCAACAAAAAGATCATCTAATTAGGACGGATAGGAAACCCAAAAAATGTGAGGCTTTGTCAAAAAGTCCCTTCCGATGTGGTTGAAGAGCTAAAAGATTATGAAGAAAGACAAAAGATAGCTAAAAGACAACAAGCTATAGATGATTATCTCCCTGATCTTGGAGATGAGAACATGGTGGAGATCGATGATGAGGAGCTTGAAGATGAACAAGTACAAGAATCTAAAGATAGAGGAGGAGGCCCGACGGTTCCTAGGTCATCTTCGGTAATGGCAAGAGGAACAGTGAGTGTTGGCTTGCACAGTGTGGGATCTTCCACATGCCCAAAGAGGAAGGGGCTGATGGATGCATTTCTTACATTTAATCCCGCTCTAGAGGTCGTCAAGGATGAAAGAAGGCGTAAGTTGAGGTAAACGTGTATTGAAGAAAGCCTCAACAAAGATGCAGTGGCTAAAGTGCATCAAGACATAGCTCGGTGGTGGTATCAAGTCAGCATTCCCTTTAATGCTGCTTGTCTTAGGTCTTTTAAAATCATTTTAAAATGTGTGGGTGCTTTTGGGCCTGACTTGCCTCCTCCAACATTACACCATTTGAGTCTTTGCTTAGGAAGGAGAAAAAATACACTGATGATCTGATATAACCTCATAAGGAGGTGTGGGGTACCAAAGGTTGTTCTTTCATGTCAGATGGTTGGAATGACAGAAAGGGAAGGACATTGATCAACTTTCTTGTGAACTCTTTTCATGGTACGGTGTTTTTTCCTCTATTGATGCTTCTGATGAGATCAAGACGGGTGACATAATGTTTGAGATACTTAGTAAGCAAATTAAGCTCATAGGTTCTCAGAATGTTGTTCATATCATCACATTCTAGTCTCAAATATGCAAATTAAATTTAAGCAATTGATTATATTATAGTTATGAATCCTTTGTTATGTTAGGATGCTTTGATATTGACCTTTTTTTATTTTTTATTTTGTTATAGGAGCTGAATTGGAAAAAGAGTATCCATATTTATATTTGACTCCTTGTGCTGCTCACTGTATTAATCTCATGCTCAAGGATATTGGTAAACTATCATATGTGAAGCTAACCTTGAGTCGAGCTATGGAGTTGACAGGATTCATCTACTCACATGCGTGGGTTTTGAAACTGATGAGAGGTGAAACTAACGGCAGAGAGCTTCTTAGACCGGCAGTGACATGATTTTCTAAGTCATTTATAACTTTGTCAAGCATCCATCGACATAAAAATAACCTCAGAAAGATGTTTGATTTGGAGAAATTGAGGCAAAGTAAGTAGGCAAGAGATTCAAATGGCAAATCAGCTGAAAGGATAGTTCATATGCCATCTTTCTGGAACAACATCGTTCGTATTCTCAAGCTCACAGCTCCTCTTGTTAGTGTTCTGAACTTGTTGATGGTGACAAGAAGCCTGCTATGAGATTCATTTATGGTAGGCTATTGCTAAAGCCTTTGTTGATGATTCAACAAAATTGATGCGAAACAGTGTGATGCAGGTATGAAGATTAATGACAACAATGTTTCGCCAAATCAGCGATCGATCTAGGCAGGAAGCTCTAGAATAAAGTGTAGCTTTTGATGGATTTTAAGCAAAAAATTGCAATGTACTAAGTTCGAATCTTTTGTGAATTATCCAGAAAATAAATGTAATGATTCGTCCTCTTAATATAGTTCAAATTGTAATATTTAGATAAGTAGAAATACTTAGCAACAGATCCGCTCGCTCACTTAATCAAGTTGAATACATCACAAATACGATTGATAATAATATTGATAGCAACATGCAAGCAATAGCAGTTCCGAAAATATTTGGGCGAAAGAAAATTAGACCTTCGTCGGGCTGAACTGGATCAACGGGAGGATCTTCTGGAGGTGGCTCAACGACGCCAAATATGAGGGGTGGAAGCTCTCCACCGAGGATGGCGTAATTAGGATGGAGCGGTGTATCTGGATGTAAACGCCGATGCCACGAACTGATTCCCAAGCTACTCTCTATGCTGTCAACGATCTGATGAGTCACGCGCTCAACGTACTCGGGCACGCTCTCGAATGACTGATAATCAAACCACGGGGAAAGCTGTAAATCTACGATGACGGTCTCTGGATCTAGCACGATTCCGTCATCAGCATCAGGATCAGCCATACACCAACGGTCAACAGAATCGAGCAATCACAAATGCAGATCAGTACAAATGAACCCAAAAATAAACAGATCTGAACCCACTTGGTTCGGTTCGGATCTAAACCAAACAAACCCAACAAATAAATAGGAAAGTCTCCTCTTCCTTCGTTCAAAGAGAAAAGGGAAAAGGAGATGCAGACTGGAGGGTGTGCCAAGCGGCCGACGGATCAAGTGAGGAAGGCAGCGGTCTGAACGGACGTCGACTGGAGGAGGGGAGAAGGAGGGCGAGTGGTGTTGGGTTCTGCGCGCCGTTGGGCTGGGACGACGGTTGTTTGAGGGTGGATTTCTGGCTCTGGGGCGGCGGCTGGAGGAGTGGGATCGGAGGTGGAACTTGGGGCCGGTGAAGGTGGGTTTTTATTTTGTGAAGAGATTGACGGCTGATCAAAATCAATAAGCTAGGGTTTCACACCATTATTTAGCAAATCAATTTCATTCATCAGTAATTTTCCAAACTGATTACATGAGAGTTTAAATAAAGCAAATTACAGTTTTGGAAAATCCTCTCAATCCCTCAAATCTCTCTCTTAACCAATTACAATCAATCAGTTGGTTAACTACCAAATAAAATCAAAATTCGAAATTCAAAAATTCAAAATTCAAACTAATTATTACAACTTGAAATCAAAACCATAGTGCTGAAATATTGCGCCTCCTGCGCTGATAAACTCGGCGAAAATCTCGTGTACGCGTCCGGATGTCCCCATCATTCTCCCCGGGTGGGAGAGAACTCGACCCTGTCGAGTGTAAATCAGAACGGCTGTCATACTGCTCAAGAAGATCTGGATCCAGCCTCTGCAAGTCATCCCTATCGAGCCAGGTGTCATCTGACTCAGGTCGTCCTTTCCAACGTACCAAATACCTGCGGATACCACCATTGCTAGTAGAAACAATGTTATCATCAATAATAGTATCAATGTCATGTGCTGTATACGTGGGTGATATCTGGGGAAGTGGAGGTAAAGGGGAGCTCTCAGAAATAGGCTCAGGGGTAGGCTCATCAACCAGTGGGTTGTCAGGGTTAAAATGTGGGCCTTT